ATCCGTCGTTAACGCGTCGTGAACCAGCGACGGCGTCGGTTGATCTTTTTTCTTATGCTGGTACTATTCACCGATGACTTTGCTCGAGTAGTTATTAATAGCTAGTCGGAGCTGGATAGCACGATCAATCATACTGCTTACGCTATTCTAGCGTGTAGCAACGTCTAAGACAAGACTTTTGACCGAATGCTCAGTACCGTTACTAGATAACGCGATAACGTGTTGCAAGTGCTCAAACTCGGCGATCCTCTGCGGCGAGGCGCGAATGTATCTAACCACGTTGTAAAGCTTGCCAACAGGTCCCCTTGAGCGCTATTCAAGGAGGGCGGCATCGACGTCGCCGGTATACTCGTCAAATAGCTCTTCCCTAGCCTCTATATCATGTCCGAACATTATAGTAGTAGCGACAAGGTTGAAGATATAGCTAGCACAGCGGAGTCTGATCTAGCGCTTGTCGGCGTAGCACTCTAGCAAGTACGGCAGCAGAGACTCGATACAGGTGTCGTTGTTAGACGCGTTATCACAGACAAAGTAGCCGACCTTATCTATAATATTAAACTTCGTAAGCAAGCCTCGGAGACTTTGAGCGATATTGGCGCCGGAGTGTTGACTATATTAACGTTAAAGAGCGAGGCGGACACTGCGGACTTTTCCTCTAGCGTTAACGAAGTGAGATACGATACCGAGCATAGTGTTACGGGTCAACTGCCAAAGGCGGTTTACTCGAGGTGGCTTCTTGAGAATGAGTAGTACAACAGGGATATGAGAAGGGGCTTTGTATTCCAATAGGTAAGTTGGTAACATGAGTTCAACACGAACAGACATAAGGTCCATTCGTTCTACCTATATATGTAAGTTAGATACAAAGGGAATGTGTAGCTGCTCTGTTGCTCTGTGTTTGGATCCTCAGATCTTACAGAGCAGATGCTCTGCTGCTCTGCACATTGATCCTTCAGATCGCAGAGCACCCTCTCTGCCTCAGGCACTAGTCACGTAACGGTTTGACGCTCGTGGCCGCATGTCCTTGTCCTCTAACGACTAGCTGTCGTCGTTCCCTTCTGTCTTCTACTGTACCGTGTCACGGGATCGTAACATAGGGAAGGGCACTAGTAGGGACACCGGTATAGAGGCAAAGGTATCCGCACGCGAGTTAGTCCTCTGGCGCCGCTATACTTCGCTCGCCCGCTACTAATCTAGCGATATTTATGTCTTACGTAATAAGATACACTTTCATTACACGTAGTAAGATACGCACCGCTATTCGACGCGGGCAACATCGCCTGTTTAATAAAGAACTTTATTCCGATTAGCCGTAGTAAGAACTAAATTACGCGAACAACGGGGCATATATTCGGAGAAAATCAAAAGTTCATATTATATAATAACCTCTACATTGGTCGCGACGCTACAATTAAAGACACATCTCGTAATAAGCTACTATTACACTACTATATTACGTGTTAACTAAACAACGAGTTTAAGACAGTAGAGAATTTACAAAACAATGCCTAGACGACTAGAAGAATATATAACGTTGATCCGTAGGTATCGTGTTTAGGGTTAGTAACTAGAAGCTCGAGAGAGCTGAACCTCGATCGTCCGACTTATATCCTTGGGAGTAGTTCGCATACACTCTCTAGAATATTATAGCTGCCCCTGCGAAGTTGTTCTGTTTCCAACCCAAGTATTTCCTATTTATCTGTTATCTTGTTTGTACGCTCGGGGAAAAGCTCGTGTCCGGCATATTTCCTATCCGCATCGTAAAAGATATGAATTACTTGTAACTTGTTTGTATCTGCCTGTTCCTGTGTCGCAAGCAGTACCGTAGCATAAGATCTTGGCTCATTATAGCTCGTATAAAGTAGGTTTCTATAAAGAGTAGGTGTGTTCAGCCAAGTGTTCAGAGAAATGCTAGGTTTTATGCTACGGAAATAACGAAAAGAATCTGTAATCTGTAGATATACTTGCACATCGCAATTGTAAAGTGCGCGAGGTCAGGCTGTTTTGTAGCCGCTTTAATAAGGTCTAGTGTTTGGTTTCGCCGAGCCGAATTCTTTATACGTTGTGTAAATCGGATAACACTTCTAGCGATCGGGGACATAACGGAGATTAGAGGCGATAGGTGCTTGTAAAATCGTACTGAATCTAGGACAAATTCTTAGGAAAATTGGAGGATAAGGTTAATTAATCTCTATTACTTATACCGGAATACACGTTCTTTTATATTTCTGCAAATGATTGTAGATATCGAGATCTGTTCCCTTAATAGAATTAATAAATTTACCGCCGCTATCTACCGGTTATACTATTAGTAAAACATCTTAGCGCCCTCTTCTAGACTTAGGCTTGAAAGGTGATAGGGTCTACCTAGCGGCAGACGAGGTTGCCTTCCCTATCGATTAGTTTAGATTGAGATGCAGGTTAATCTGTTGCCGCCTCACGTTGCGCCGCTTTCCAAATTTAGTATTTCAGCACGACCCCTCGATATTAAGCTTGTTGCCTAGGGCAACAGTTAGAACACGTACCTTACTAGATAGATGTTACACGTGTTTCTACACGTGAAGATCTAGGGTTTAGGATTTAGTCCTTATAGTATCACCTTGAGACTTAATCTTCTTTTTGGGAGTTATCTGCCTTAACATATACATTCTATACGATTGCCGAAGGTCTTAAGCGGTATATCACATCGAGTTCCTTCCTCTCGACCGCTTCCGCTATATATCTGTCCGTTGCACGTACACTTACCTTCTATAGAGCAATCCCCGTTCTCTTGCGAAGTCGATACTAAGCCGCTCTACCGCTACTAGAAGGGAGGCTATTATCCGGTACATCTCGGCGATATAATATACGAAGGTCGATATCGAATATTATACAAGCTAGGATGGGGTAGATAGTCTACAGTTTGGGCAGCCCGGGATTTGAGGTTCGTATTACTATAGTATAGTAGCGTTTACGGAAAAGCTAACAAACTAGGACTAAGTGTTGCATGGTCAAGACGTATTCTGTGAAAAGGTTGATTCAATAACTAACTACTGTGCACTTCGAAATAACATGTCGTGTCTGACTCCGCCGGTTACAGCAGCTACGACTGTCCAAGTCGCCTTGGACAGTCGTAGTTGCGGGCAAGTGCAGCCGGCGGTGACGAGGTCGACGACCCTTCGTCCTCCTTGGAGGGTACCGTAACAGGTCCCCCCCTCGGCGGGGCGAAGGGCGACGTCCTCGTCGTGAAGGGATTATGGTCGTAGTGACTCAAACAAACGCGAGGTGCACAACAAGGCACGAAACCACAATTCGTAGGTCGTCACAAAACAAACAGTCGTCAAAACAGGGAACTCATCACAGGACGCCATCCATCCTTCAGTTCGTCTTGTTGGTGTTCTTCGTAACGCGTGTGGAGCGGCGTGATGGCGCGGCTGTAGTGGCCTTGCCACGTCCTCTATGTCCACGTCCACGTCCACAGCCGGCGCCACGGTTCGGCTTGGGTGGTGGTGACGGTTGAGGTGCCGCTGGTGTCGGAGTCGGTGGTGTTGTCGGAGCGCGTGGTGGCGTCGACGGTGCGGCTGGTGTCGTGGTCGGTGGTGCCGGCGTCGACGTTGGGGCTGCTGGTGTGGTCTTCTCAGGCGTCCTCAACCATGTGTTCATGATGGCGTCTTTACCGGTCTTTGTCGCCGTCGTGGCCGGCGTCCTGCCTGCTGTCTTGGTGGCGGCGGCGGTCGTCGGGGCGGGTGTGGTGGACGTCCTGGTCGTCTTGGTCATAGCGGGCGTCTGTGACACGACTGGGGACGTTGTAGCTTGCGCTGGGTTCGTACGACGACGGTCACGGTCGTATTGGCGTCGGCAGAGAAGGATGAACTCGTTGCAGATGTCGTCGTCCAGGAGTGGGCGTCGTGTGTAACGCTCAAACAATGCTCGGTCGCCTTGATTCGTGATGAGACGTGGTGACGGGCTCGTCGGAGTCGTAATGTTCAAGAGCGGCAGGGCCATCTCCATTGGCTGATCGCGTTGCCATTGTCGACGGAAAAACAGGATGGCTTCGTTTGTCAAGTCGTCATCAAACACTGGACGCATGGTGTAGACGTCGAACAAGGCCCTGTCGTCCTTGTTCAGGATGAGGCGCGGTTGTGAGGCCGGTCGAGGCGTCGGGGCGACTTCTTCTTCACGGGGTCGCTTGCGACCCATTTCTGCTGCTTTGATGGCTGCGTCGACCTTGGCCAGCCTGCTCTTTGTCAAGTCGACGAACGTAGTGGGTTTGTCGGCTGTGGTTGAAGTTTTGCCGTAGCTCAAGAAGGTGTCCTTGGGCGTCACTTTCTTTGCGCCTGGCGTCGTCGAGATGGGCGTGGCGTCGACCTTCTTCTTGCCCTTCTTGGCGGCTTTCGCCTGCTCTTCCATCATTGTCGAGACTAGTGCTTCCGTTGCGGGCGCCCAGTCGCGTCGACAATCCATGCGTCCCACGAAAAAGCGCGCGTTGGCTGTCAAGATGTCTGCGTTCTTGTAGTCGTGTGGGATGATGTCGTCGGCCTTGTTGAAACGTGGGTGGACGAAGCCAACAATGTCGTTGCGTAGCAGACCGCAATCGTCGTGGAATTGCCCAACGGCTTCTCGAATGGTGTCGTCTTCGACGTTGAGGAGCGCTTGCTCCGCGTCGAAAAATTCGAAGTCTTGATTGATTGAACACAGATCAATTTCGACTGGCCATGTTCGAAGGTGATCGAGGTCGGCGGTGAACTCCGACGCTCTCAGCCAAATGCGTAATTCCTTCTGTGGGTACGCCTTGTGGAATGCATCGATGGTTTTGCGCTCGCGCTTCCATGGAGGCGTCATTTTCTTGTTGCGTTTCGACTTGTTGTGCTCCAGAAGCGCATCCATGTCGCATCCGAAGTCGTGATCAAGGGCATCTTCACCACAGAGAATGACCGTCTCGTACGCCTCTGCGTACGTGCCGTCTATGAGGTATGGTAACCCGAGTGGGACCAAATCTCTGTTGATGCCGCATTTTTCACTGGCAAAGACGCCTGGCCACCAGCGACGTAGTTCCAGTCCCTGGATTTGGCCGTCTTCATGCATCTGGAGCAGTTCACCCTTGATGTCGTCTCCGAAGATGGTGTGCATCGGTGGCAACGCCTTTCGCGTGATGGCGCCTCGAACCGCATTGTAGACCTTGAAGCGTGAAAAGTGCCATTTTTCGTTGATGGCCTGGTCGAGTGTAGCATCGTCGACGGTGTATGGGTCGACGCCGTAGCGCCATTGGGACAAAGGCTGTGTGTGGGTGCCTTCTCCGCTGGGCTCGTCGTCACTGTCATCGTCGTTGTCGTTGTCCTCTTGTGCTTCGTCCTTGCCGGTGTCGTCTTCCTTGCGCGTCATTTCGTCTTTGCTGGGGTGGTTCGGCCCTCCCAGGGTCTTTCGACCGACTGGGGCCTTGCCCTGAGCGCTCTGGCGGCCTGTGCTGGTGTTTGCGACTGACGTGACGTTGTCCTTGGTTGTAGCTGGCAGGCTTGGTACGCTGGTGGACGTATTGGCGTCGTCGTCGACGTCTTTGTCTGTGCGGGCGACTGGGGGGCTGGGCGTGCGGTCCACTTCGAAGAACCACTCGCACATGTCCCCACGGACGTCCTCCTCTTGGGCCTCGCCTCTCAGACAGTCCAAGCGTGGCTCTTGGTATTTGGGCTTCGTCTTGCCACAAGGGTCGCCCAGGGCAAGAACCTGTGCGTTCGCACGCCAGAGGTGGCCACAAGCAAGTCAAGCAAGTCTGGAGCCTGGACTTGGCTTGACTTGAGGCCTCAAAACCGTGGGCTTGACTTGCTTGAGAGGTCCGAGGGGATGGCTTGACTTGCTTGACTCGGCTTGAGCCAAAAGGCCAAAAGTTCAGCCACCTGCGAGAATTGAATTCGCGACCTTGGAGTCTACGATCCCCTTGCTCTACCACTGAGCTAAAATGGCCAGAGCCATAACAGCTGGACCATTTGTGCCGATGTCTGACCCGGTGTTTTCGGGGCATTTCAATGCTCTCCGAGGGGTGGTTTCTCGGACCGAGTGTTCGGGCCGACACGGAGGATGACGATGTCGTAGCGACGTCGTCCGCGCGACGCTGGAGGTTGGTAGTGGCGTGACGACGTGTCGTGCGTGACGTGGCGATCAGTCGCCGTTCGAGGTTTCAACCGACAGACGGAGATCGAGGTATTGACAATACGGCTGAAGTCATGCTGTTAAGCCGCCGCATTTCGTCTTTCGTGATGCTGACGACGTCCTGTTGAAGCCAAGACTTCATAATCATTAGTGATTCAGTAGTGTCGTCCTGCATCATACGTCTTCTCGGTGACAACGTGTTTCCAGCGTTACTGAACAATCGCTCTGGCTCGTCGGACATGGCTGGCACGGCGAAGAT